TGTAATATATAATTTATATTTTTTATAAATAAATTATATATATATATAAATGAAAATTTTATTTTTTAAAGTATATACAATATACACATATATACTCGCGCGCATTTTAGATACATTTTCAAAAAATAATTCCATGATTTTATATTTACGAAAAAGTAAAGAAAATACACGAATCGCGCGGACAAAGTAATTAAAATCGTACGGGAATTAAAAATTATTTTCAACTGTGCCAAGTCTGCAATTCTCGAATCATTCGATTTTTCGGCTGCACTTGAGTTTTATCAATGAAGATTACAGGCTATCGGTAATTCGTCGGCAGAGCAGGAGAAAAATATCGAAAAACCGCTACTCATCTCAACAAATGCGCAATATGGGGACAATGAAAATCCGCAGTTCGAGCCGAGTCCTTGAGGAAGTCCGAGAGGAGGGGGAGAAGAACACAGGGCGAAGGACCATTTCTTTTTGCGCGATAATACTCATCTGGTCGATAAATAGATAAATATCTGATTAAAAAAAGCTGCAAAACATCAATAAACCTGAGCAAAGCGATAAATCATCGATTAACCGTCGATTGCTACCGATTGCGTAAATTGTTAAGTTCGCGTCACAGTCATCGGAGACACTGCGGATTATGAATTAGAGATTAGAATTTGACCAGTCGGGTAATTTTAATTTCAATCCGTTTCGTTCTGATTAGTTGAATTCTAATTCTCCAACCTCCAACGCGTGACACGGGCTTAAACTTTAATTAAGGCCGCAATCAGACTACGCACTGAAGATTGAGATTAAAAGATTGAATTTTGGCTAATCAAAGTAATAGGAATTAAAATTTCTTTATTCTCTCGTTGGTCAAATTTCAATTTTCAATCTTCAATCACAATTTTCAATGCGTAGTCTGATTCCGGCCTGATGAGGATTGCGAATTGAAGATTAGAATTCAGTACAAAATATAATTGTGAGACCCATATTCTTAATATAGAATATCTGAATTTAACGCGCCGCACAAGAACCGCGAGGTAAAAAATTTATTTGCTCTCTCATTTGCCCGTTATTGAAAAAACAATGTTATTGTTTATGATTTGAGAGTCCAAGTCATTTTCGATTTGACATTGAAAACGCGAATTGGAATTAAAATCATTTGTCCGATCGAATTTTAATCTCCAATTCTCAGTGCGTACAGTGTGTGACATGGACTTGACTCGCGTACACTTGCTGCGTTCAGCAGAAAAAGCAGCTTCACAGCTGCCATAAGATTCTTTAATACGATTGACGTATACGTTTAAAAATCCAGCGAGGATTTAAAGGCAAGAGAGTCAATCGTATTCAAAGATCTTAGAACCGTCGCGGAGCTGCTTTTTCTAGTAGACTCAGCAATCCTTCACGCGCGGAAAAAGATCGATCGAGAGCTTTGTGCGCAAATAAAAATAAAGCGAACGGAAAAAAGGAGAACAAAGATGAATTCATTTGAAGTGCAGCACAAAGACGAGAGATTTGTACAATATATACGCCCTACATATATATCGCGCGAGCCACGTATGATACATTCTCCTGGCACAGCCGAGTGTCCCAGTACTCCCCTTCGCTAATTATCATTGTTATCATAAAAGAAATATAAATATACATTTTGCAACGCGTGACTGGCGTTGCTCACCACGATATTTCTTCTAACCTCTTACGGGCAGCGCGATTTTTAATCGCGTGCGCGAATATCTTGGGTATCCTTTCGGACACGCCACACGGATTGTCCGGGAGATGCATTTCGTTCGTACGGTGCGTCATCATGAGTTATCTCGAGGCGCAAGGCATCGCGGTGGACCGCGTGTCTCGCGGGGCTCCCATGTGTCAGCAGCATGAGAGTCACATGGGAACCATATCGCCGTCCGCCATAGTCCCGGGAAACTCGGGTTTTCGCGCGCCAAAAAAAAAAGAGGGCCCTCGGAAGGACCGGGGTAGCCCAGGGACGGTGGGCGAATCTCGAGGGAGAGGAGAAACGATTGATCGAGTCGAGGCTTCGCATCGTGACGTAAGTCAACGAAATAAATACGGATTTCGTTCCGGATACGTGTGATTCATTCGTGTGACACGGACGGACGGACGGACGGACGGAGGCGCGAATCGATAATTTAATAATGTCGAGTGTCGAGCGCGCGCGTCACGTGCGCGCTTCTCGCCAGATCGCAGGGCTCTTTTTATCTGTTTTTTTTCCCTTAGACAGCGAGCGTAAGAAAAGGTGGAAACAAATACATATCAAAATTCGTGCGCTTACCGTACTTTCCTCTTCTGCCTCCTTTGCCTGGCATCGCTCCTCAGCTTGCTTATTGCACAATTGGTACTAAGTAAAAAGACTCGATCAAGAGGGTAAATGTCTTGAACTAGTGTCTTTCTTTCGTATACTGAATACGCCGCGTGAATTTTTCGTTGAGAGCGGACGAAAACTCATTAACATGTTGCGGAGCGTTCAGAACATACACGTCGAGACAGCCTACGGTGGGCTTTCTCAAGTGCACTGGCTGCTTGCTTATCCCCCGCGCCGCTAGTGGGCCAGACCAGACGAACGTGCGGGCTCGATCGGTCCCGCGAACACGGCCGGAGATACTCGAGGGTGACACGCGCGCGAACCAATCGCCGCTCGTGATTTTTCATTACGTCGTGTGCAGAGTCCGCGCGCAGAATCGCGGGGGATTTAATTTGCGCGCGCACGCGCACGCTGACATTGGGTCTGTTCTTTTTTCGAAGAGATCTGGAATTAGGGTTAGGGGTGCGTTCGGAGGGACGCTATTAGCAGCTGTTAGCGCTATTTGTGTCATTTTAGCTTCGTCATTTATTAGACGTAGAACAAGGATAGGATGACGAAAATAGCGCCAATAGCACCTCCGCGAGCACATCTTTAATAAATGTGTGAAAGGGGGAGATAAGGGGAGGATATAGCACTCTCGACAGGTGTTAAATATTACTTGCTAATAGCCATGTGAAGGTCTCATCCGGCCGGTCGTTTGTAATCAATTTACGTATTCATTAAGTGAGTTTAGTCAATAATTAATATTTCATTAAAAATTGAAGCACAGGTTAAAGGAATCATTCTGTATACGTAGTTAATTTTTTGTAGTTAGTTATACCTGACATTAAAAAAATAGTTGCTTTCCATTTACATCAGAACTCGGATAAGTTGCATTTGTTATGTCCATAATATTTAATTAAATTCAGGTTCTTTTTCAATCTGACCAGTGAGATTCAACTGAGTTTTTATTTACAGTTTGCACACAAGCTCGTGTGCTTTACCGAGTTTCGTTGAAATTCACATTAAAAGTGAGATTGTATAAATCTATTATTATATAACAATTTTGTCACCAAAATAAGCAAACAGTATCATCTGAATATAAAATACTCACATAATTTCAGACTCGTGTGAAAATGGAAAGCAACTTGTGGCTCAATTAAAATTTATGCTCTGTGTCTTAACAGGTATATCGAATTTTAGGTTTTGGCAGTTGTATAATGCAACGATTACGTTTTAATTAATGTAAAGATGGATCACAACGTGCTCGTGGCGTTCGATTTTGACCATACCATTTGCGAAGGCAACACTGATCTAGTAGTGCAAAATTTGTTGCCAACAGAGATATCCGAGGATGTGTACAACTTACGGAAGTCAAGCGGTTGGATAGTCTATATGAACAAGATCTTCGAGCTCCTACATAAGAATTCTGTGAAAGCGCATCAGATTGAAAACATTATTATTGGTATACCTGCAGTTTCAGGAATGCAGAGGCTTCTCACTTCTCTGCATAACAACAGTCATGAGATCATCATTATCAGTGATTCCAATAGCATGTTCATAGACTCTTGGCTGAGAAGTAGGCAGCTTGATCGTGTTGTGTCGCAAGTTTTCACGAACCCAGCTCGATATGACGAAGGTAGACTGAGGGTGGATCCATATCACACGCAATACACATGCCAGATGAGCGCTGTCAATCTTTGCAAAGGACAGATTTTAACGGACTATATTCAGGATAAATATAAACAGGGTAAAAGCTATGAGAGAATTGTCTACATTGGCGATGGAAGGAACGATCTCTGTCCAATTTTGCGCCTCTCAGAGGCCGATCTGGCATGCCCGCGTAAAGGCTATTCACTCATCAATCGACTAAATGAGTCTACCTCCATGTCGACGAAAGCAAAAATTGTGCCATGGGAGAACGGTACTGATTTACAATGTAGCTTGAAACAGTTCATAGAACTTTCATCATTAACACAATTCCACCAATAGATTTTTTGCGTATTTCTTTTCTCAGAAAAGAAATTTTTCTTTTCTTTGCTCATGCATAATTATTAAATTGAAGAACAATTAAGTTATTCCAGATGTTATTTCCAGCTTCAGTTTATCATTGCGTTTCAAATTCAATAAACTGAATTAGCATGCAAAACTAAATGTATGTTTTTTATAATTGCATATTGTATATTTTTTTTAATATTTACTGTAAAAAAAGCATGAAAAGCGCTGGAAAAACGCTTCTAAAGTAAAATATGATTACAATTATTATGTATTTGTTTTATACATTACGAAATATTTTTGTTATAATAGTATAAGTGATTAGAGTCAAGTTGTAATCGAGCTTTAATGCCTTCATATATATGAAGAAATATTTACTTTTGATATTTAAAAAAATATCAAATAAAATATACTTTTGATACTTACGAAAAATTCTTTTTTCTCTACCACAACATATACTAAAAATGGCTTTCACGATTGCAGAATGTATATAATTCTCGATACACAAAATACATTTCTATTTATTATTATTATTGTTTGTTACATTAATCTTATGTTAATTAATATTTAAATACACTGAATAATTTAACTTATATAAAACATTCAATTTATTCAACCAAATACATCCAGTTTTCTTGCCTTACTCTACATTAAGCTTTTTGAATTTCGATTATATTTGTTAGGATATTTTTTTTTATCTCCTCCCTCCCCCCCCGCCAAAGAACGTTTAAAAATATTCATTTCATGGAAGGGAATAATTAATTTAAATACGTTTCGTATTATAATTCTAGCGTGAAATTTCCAATTTGTCACAATCTTTACTCCGACTATTCGCATTCTTTATTTACATTATTTCGAATTTAAGTCGAACATGTTGCGACTGATATCTAAATACAAAAAAAGCTAAGCGACTTCTATTATTTAATTTTGAATTTTTACATAGAAAGTATACTTTGTTGAATTATCTAAAAATTTAGTTATAACGAGGATAGTTTGAAAAGTTTTGAGCCTCGTTAAAACCATTCTGATACCATCTGGAACTATGTTTCTATGGTTGTTTGACAATTGTGCCAGATGTTAATGGTTTTGTAAAAATGGAAAAAATCGAATATCGTCCCGTGATTAAGTACTTGTATTTCAAAGACAATACGCCAACGAAAGTTAAAGCCGAGTTGGACTGTTTATGGGCTGTTTACGGGGATTCTGTTCCATAATTTGCCACCGTGAAAAAATGGGCAGCTAAATTTAAACGTAGTTGTACCAGCTTGGCTGATGATGAGCGTTCGGGACAACCAACAACTGCGACCACCGATAACATCGAAAAAAATTCACCAAATAATACTGAACAGTGGACAATCATCGAGTCAAGATTAGAGAGTTAACAGAGGCTCCTATGAGAATATCGAAAGAACGTGTTTATCATATATTGACTGAAGAATCAGGCGTAAGCTAGCCGCGCTTGCTCACCAAAATTCATTCAAATAATTGAAGAACTCTAGGTATTCACAAAATAGTTCTGTTAAGCTGATCAGAACTATGCGACCTTGAATTTCGTTAAAAAGTTAGCACCCCATTTTAAAAAAATTATTAAAAAATGATTATTAAGCGTATATCATTAAAAATCATAGAGAACTCTTCGTATCGTATTAAAAGGAAGTGGGAACTCTAATCAGAACTCCTGAGTACTATAGTTGGGGTGCTAACTTAACATACCCCAAAAAATGTCATTTATAGGGATTGAGAAACCTTATGTTTATTGCACGTTTACGTCTGACTAAAAAAATTGGTTATTTTTAGAACTCGTTTAAAAAAAAGTACCGCCCCTAAGCAATAGCCTACGTTAGCCTCTAATGCTAACATGACACTGGATTGATCAATCACCGTATTCACCAGATCTAGCCCTCAACGAATTTTTTCTGTTTCCTAAGCTTAAAGTTTGGCTCGGAGGACAGATTTTCATCGAACGAGCAGGTCATCGCATCCGTAGAAGTCTATTTTGCAGAGCAAGATGCCAACTTATTTGAATGGGTTAAAGAGATGGAGTCATCGCTGGCAAAAGTATATCAACTTAAAAGGAGATTATGTTGAAAAATAAAACTGAATTTGACCAAAAAAATATTTGTTTCTATGTTATAGGCTCAAAATTTTTCAAATGACCCTCGTATATATACGAAATTAAAATAAAAAAACGGCATCCAAGCGTAGTTATTTTATGAAATCTTATGAAAAAGAAATTATTGCTTTTAATTTGAGAAGTTCATTATTTTAATTTTTTTATCTAATAAGGATATAATTATTAAATAAATGCAAAATAATAAAAAATAAATGTAAATGTATATTGTATGTATCTATTTACATACTATTAAAAGATATAATTATAAAAATAAAATTTTTTATGTTCTGAACACCTCACTTAATAATCTTAGAGTCCTCGTGTTTCAAAAAATAAAGATTATAAATACAAAATAGGAGCATCTTTCGTTAGAAATGTTATATTATTAATAGAGATATAAAAATTTAAATAGAAAACATTTCTTGAATATTCGAAAAATTTTTTAACATCTATTTAATGTAAAGGTTTATAAAAGCTTGGTTGTAAATAAAGTACTGAATTTATTAAATACATTGCCTTAATAGAATTATTAGAAACACTTTGGTTCTTAAACTATTACGATACATTAAGATACATTTGCCGTAACTTGTATTTCACTTATAATTTTGTTGAATACAGGGTCGTATAACATTCACATGTTTGTATTTTACTGGTCAAAATGTCACGTAAGTGTAATTCTAAATTGTTTTACAAACAATACTGCTTTATTCTTCGTGACTATACAAAAACTCTTTATAAACTAACATCACATTAGCATTTGGAAAATATCCGATGATTTTTTCAGAGAAGTAAATTGTTGTCTTTTTTAATTACAGCCCACAGATGTCTATACTATACTAGATCGATAACTTCGTCAAAAACAGTCGAAAGGACTGAGGCCGGCCGGATCTCCGGTTTCGGCCATGGGAACAAAATGATGGCGAGGTACGTGTGTAGTAGTGCGTATATGAGTATCCTGCGTGTGTGTTAGTGCGTATGTGTGACATCAGCCGGCAGCCACACGTGTCAGAAGTAGAAGCTTCCAGAAATACCGATGGCACAGCCAAATTTTTTAAACGCACATCACTTGCGCCTGGTCTTTCCAAAAAATCTATATGTACAAAATGGGCATTACAGATTAAATCATTCTTCTTTAAAGTCTCCTCCGATGGCCACACGTGTGTCGATTTTTCTACATATATTAGTAAAAGAAAGTAAAAATGCCGAAAAATTGTTGCATTTCTAAATGCAAAAATACACGAAAACAAGGTATTCATTTCTTTAGGTAAGTAGAAAGTATTTATGTGTAATAAATATAAAAATATTCGAGGTTCATGATATGAGAAGGTTATGTTTCAATTAAGCATTGTTAATTTTTCAGATTACCATTTACGCGTCCAGATATATTACAAATTTGAATCAATGCCATCGGAGGAGACTTTGTTCCAAAGAAGAATGACACCGGGAACACACGCGTCACGTGTGGCTGCCGGCTGATGACACACATACGCACTAACACACACGCAGGATACTCATATACACACTACTACTACACACGTACCTCGCCATCTTTTTGTTCCCATCATGGCCGAAACCGGAGATCCGGCCGGCCTCAGCTCTTTCGGCTGTGTTAGCGATCTAGTATAGTATAGACATCTGTGTTACAGCCTGAATTTGTTGAGAAACGAAGATATTTTATTTAAAATGGGATTACCTAGAAGCTTACCTAAGATTTTTGGAACATGTATAAAATGTACAAAAAAATGAAATATTAAATATGTATTTATATAAACTTGATATTAGTAATATAATTATCGTATTAATGTAAAATATTTTTTATTTTACATTAATATGATATATAAATATAACCACATAAAAGTATTCTTATATATAACAAACATGAACATATAAAAGATATAGCAATATATTTATATTTTTATATAATCTTAATATATATAACGTATAAGTGTAGCCTTTTTTTAAAAAAAAGGAATTAAATCCTTCAGCACCACTCCTAGTGTCGAATATCCGAGATTTTTATAATATTTTGCTAAGGTATATAAAGAAGTAGAAAAAAACTAAAAAACGAAAAACAGAAATCTAAGAGAAAAAGGCAATTTGATAAAATAAAGGAAGTTAAATATGGATATCTGAAACTGAATTTAAAAATGCTATAGAAGTTTTATTTTATATGCTGTCATTTTCTATTTATATCTTTGTTTTTATTTAATGCTCCTCGTCGGCTTTTTTTTTTAATTTTCTGAGTTTTTCTGGACGTCAACAATCTTATATATCATAGAGATACATTTGCTTGTTACTATTATATTTCTAGATGTCTGATGTTTTGATTTTGAAAAAGTGCTATTTTTATGCGATATTTTTCGTAATATCAATCTGATATAGAGTGGCACCGAAGGATTAATTATTGTACTGTTTTTGATTAAGTGCGAAATACTTAAATAAGCTAAATAAACTAAACTTAGAGTTTTTATACTAATAAATAAATCAATGAAACATAACATCGACATAATTTGAATATATGCATATTAAATTAATCGATTAATTTTTGTATTACTTTCATAATAAGAGAAAGTGTATTTATGCGAGAAAAATTAATTCAAATCTTATTTTGTAAAAAAATAAACATAATTATTATAGAAAAAATCTTATTTTGTAAAAAAATAAACATAATTATTATAGAAAAAAGCAAATAAACATTGAAGGCATAAATACCCTTGTCCATAGTTGTGAGTTTTTGTTTGTTACATTCAATTTAGCACCACTGGTACATATAAATTTTCATATATCTCTATTCGTCATGTCCTCACATATTTGGAATAAAGCTATACAATGTACTTATAGTGTTATAGGGATGAAACTACTATAGCTTGCTACAGATAAAACAGTAGACAGAATTGCTATAATTGTAAGAGCGCCCACGTGTGAAGCACTAGATTGTGTACCAGTTGCAGCAGCGCTTTGTGCGCTGAGTACATTCTCGCACGGCGTCACTCTCTTGATGAAATTAAATATAGAATCCATTATATTCGCAGGTGTCGGATCCGGACATTTTTCTAATTCCGCCACAACGCAGGTTTGGAGTTTGTCCATGTCGCTGTAATGCAAACAAAAATAAGTTTTTTCTTCCCGTAAAGAAAAAAAGAGTAGTAAAATATTAATTTTAAGAATTGAATTTCAAATATGCAAGATTTTGAATACAAACGTTTAAATTTATTTCATGAATATTGCCAGAGAACAAGTTCGTGAATTTTGCATGGCTCACCTGCATTCTTTGGTACCAAAATTCAATGACGGTAAACTCTCCAATCCCATTAAACTATTATTAGTGGAATCAGTTTTTGGTACATAACTGCTAAACGTTTTGTTGGCACAATCTTGAATTTCTTGCTGTTTTGACTCAAAACATTCTGGTCCTCCAGCCGATATGAAAACTGCAAAGATATAATAATTCTAGTTAATGTATAATTATTATTCAAGCTGCTTTTTACATGTATTTGGAACTTCTTACTGTTGTATTTAAAATAAATACAACATTACTATTTATTTCGAATAAATTTTATATAAAAAAATACACTAATAACTTGTGTCAGTATATTGGCTCATATTGGCATTTCATTGATTCTTTTTGGATTGATTCATCTGAGTCTTACTGATTATCTTGTTTATTTAAAATAAAATTAATTTAATTCATACATACGAGCGATTCGATCCCCTTCTTTGTAGCAGATAAACTCGAGAAGTGAGTCAGTTATGTTCAGCACTATTTTCTTGTTTTCTTTTTCTTTCTCGCCCAGACAATGCTCTAATGTGTTCGTGAAATTGCTCACGCAAGCTCGCAGAGTGTTGCGCTTGTTGCAATAGTTCTTGAAAACAATATCCAAATCACCTGTCGGCTTGTATTTTTCCATCTCCGCTGTTAGTGCCGTAATGTTGATGAGTGACTGAACACACTGTCCCATTTTAACTTGGGCGCGTTCGACATTGTCAAATGCGTCTGGTCCGCCGTTCTTTGTACATTTTTCTTTAAAAAGATTCTTAGCTTCTTCGATGGGCAGCGCTGATGTGTTCAAGTTTTTTAATTCTGGGATTCGATCACCCACCACATTGCCAACCTGCTCAAGCACATTGTCGGATAAATTTTCTTGCGAATGCGTGCACTCAACAATACCTGAAACAAGGCAATATTTTATACAGTTAAATGGAAATATCTCTCCTTTAAAACAGATTACGGTAGAAAAGATTAGGTTTCATTCTTTTATTCTGCCACGGAATAAAAGATGAAGTTACTTCATCTTTCATTCAACGGTTAAAAAAGAAGTAGCAGTTATATTTAGAAATGCTAATTAAAAAATATTTTTCTTTCATATGTATAAAATATTGTAAAGAGAAATATGAATCATTAGACTTTTACAAAATAATCGTATATGTACAGTTTTTTATTGGAATTGTACAATACGATCATATTGAATACTTGATGATTTCTATATAGTGGACTTTAAAATTATTTACATCCAGAGACTCTTGAAAGAACAGTTTATCATAATTGAGCATTTAATGCCACAATGACGTATTGGTCGGGGAAAGAGAATTTATATAAAAGAAGATTATAATAAATAATAATACTGCAGTACATAGCTGAGAGCTATATAGTAATGTGCTTGTTTATGTTTGCCAATTAATGTTTCTCTGGTATTATATCGTTTATAATGACCTCGTATTAGTATAATTTCTTGTAGTAGTTTTAATCTGGAAGCGTGACTTATTAGACATACGATATAATCTATAAAAAAATATCTTATAATATAACAGAAAAACGAAGGAAAATTTTCAAGAAAAATTTTTATTTCTTAACGAAATTAATTAATCTTTACTGAATCTTTATCGAACTGTTAATGACAATTTGATGCAAAATACTTTATGCAATTTTTCTAAATTTAATTTTGTTATAACACCACATTAATTAAAAATAATATTATGTGTAAAAGAAAGTGTTATAATAACCAGTTACGAGCTTTTAGTTAATTACATATTACAGAACTATTTATTAAATGTAGGTGTAAGATTGAAACATTAAGCTATTGTTATTGAATATCTATTCTCTTTAATTCTCTATATTAAATTTGTAACTATAATAGGCTTGTAAGAAAAATAATCAATAATTGGTTAATTTTTTATGGTTTAAGACTTAGGTAATAACTGAGAAAGTCCATAATACATATTTTTGAGCTTTAACAGCAAGTTCAATATAATTTATATACAAATCGAAACTTTTTAGTTTTTTGCACATTAATTACTGTGACACATTTTTATTAGCCTGTTTATATGGATCCTTTTATATATATATATATGTATATATATATAGAGTGTCCGGGAAAGAGACGAACGACGCTTAAGGGAAGATCTTGAGATCATTTTGAGACGAAAATTCTAATACCAAAAAAAAATGTTGAGGCTATAATAACTTTAGAATTATAAGCGTTTAAAATTAACGAATCATATCGTCTAAAGTTGGCGCGCTCAGGAGCGACACAACGCAAAGTACTAAAACTACTAAACGCGAAAGTTGACTTATTGGAAATTATTTTGCATATTTGCGCACAATTTCACAACTCTCTTTACGCGAGAAATTGGCCTCTTCGTCGTATTAAGTAATAAGAAATATCAATGAAAATTTATTTCTTCGTTTAGTGAATACAACATGGACTATACTAATCAAGAAAATTCTGATATGTTCCTCATTTATGGCGCAAGTAATTAGAATGCACACGAAGCTGCGCGCAGATATGTAGAATAATTTCCGAATCGTAGATTCCAAGACCGAATGTTTTTTTTAATTTGATAAATACAGCTCGTAAATCAGGATTATTTGCACCAATAAGGAGAGATGGTAAAGCTTTCTCGAAATGTGCCATTTGTGGATTTTGTATGAATGTATTATTAAACCTTCAACGAATGAGTTCATTTTAACTTTCTTTGTTGTGGTTCTTACAAGAGATGGAATGCGGTCGAATATATTTAAGCCGTATCGGCCTTGAATGTTATCTTTCTGAAATTTCCAATGAATACTTTCATCCGTCGATGTATTAATGATACATAAAAGAAGTTGTTTTGTTTTTTTTTTCTATTTTTTTCAGTAGTAAAACCCACGTCATATACTACACATATTGAAAACTGAGACCCAGTTCTAGGAATGTGCGATTTTGGATAGCTTTGCTAAAAATGGATTTTTCGTTTTTTTTTTTATAAAAAGATTGTTTTGAAGGAGCTTTTTTTGTTCAAAAAAAAGTGATTCTTTACAAAAAGATTGTAAAGTTTAAAATCGCTATGGGAAAAATCAACCTTTTAACGATCAGAACATTCTTAACCGGTTCCACAAATGCAAGATTAACTATATTCTCTATTTAACTTTTTTATTTATATATATACCATATATATACACATACACACAATCTTTCCACAATTCTAAAAATTAGATTTTCTAAAAATTAGAAAAAGAAAGATTAATTTTACATTTGTGAAACTGGACCTGAGGATTGTGAATTAGAGATTAGAGTTCGTGTCCATGCAGTCAAATAATTTTAATTTAAATATGTTTTGTTTTGATTGGCTAAATTCTAATCTTCAATTATTTGATAACATATGAAGAGCAAATAGATTCAAAATTAATCTACACTACTGGTAAAAATAGGAATTAGATTGCTATGATAAATAACAGTATTATCGCAACTGGAGAATAATGAGTTTTAAAAGCAAACAAAGATGTGTAATCATGAGTCATAGTGACAAAAATCATTTTTATTTGATTGGTCTGAGATATCAACTAAGCGGTTGTCAACATCCTAATCTGTCCTAATCATCAATGTACTACATTTTCAATGTGGCAACTGAGGGAACCTGAAGGAACTGAGTTCGGCAAAACGGCGTTTAAGCTCGATTTTATTTCAAAACTTATGTTAAAACTATCCTGTTGTTTTGTCGTACCGTTTTTCCTCATTCACCTCTAAGACTCGTTCATTGTTTTATAAAAAAAAGAAGAAATCAGTATGTTAATTGATACAATTGACGAACGAGATTGATAAGCTTTAGCAGAAAATGCAAGGAGTATTTTACGTAATTTTATTATGTAATCTTATCCATCAAATTTCAAACACAATTAACCTGCAATTTGTGAATATATAATATTTCCACAAAAAAATGCTATTGGTTGATTTCAAAAAGATTATACATATATGTCTTCTATATAGGATTGCAAAAGTCTTGATACTTTTTTGAAATGCATTCAACTTCACTTTAAAATGGACGAAATTCAAAAAAAGAATTTATAGTATCAAATCTCTACTTTTAAAAGATCATGTCCTTTGGTACTTCTGTGAATTTGGTAATTTTTAGATATAGGAAATTTTGTGGGCCTACGTGCTTTAAAAAAATTTGCCAAAACTTCCGACTTTCTAACATGAAATAACTTTTTCCCTACCAAAATTTTTTGAATGTTCCCAAGGTTTTTTGTTATTAAGGTATCGTGGCTTAAATTTAAAAATATTTTGACTTTTATTGCTCATAATTCTATTAAAAATCACCGTATCACAATTCAAAAAACGGAATCTTAAAGCTAAAACTTTACTTTATGAAGTATAATTATTAAAATAAAAAAAATATATAGATATATATGATACAAATAAAGCATCTCTCAAAAAAGTGCCAAGACTTTTGCAATGACCCAATATTTTCCGTAACAATTTAATATTTATTTTACATCAATTTTCGTTTTACGGTATTAATTTTTTTTGCAGGAATTATGGGATTTGCTGATGATAGCAAATAATTCATATTCTGATTGTTCGTGTGGTAAGCACGCAAACAATTGTTAGTGAAAGCATCACGTTCATTGACTTCATTTTTCTAACTAAGGCAAAGGCTTAATAATAACTAAGACATAGGCTTAATAATGAATTAATGTGTTGACGAAATAATATCGGACTTTTGCACGCGTTGGCGTTTTGCGCGGAAGCTTCTCGTTCAACAGGAAGTCGCGAAGTTTAAACGATTCATATGCCACATGCGTTGACGCATAATTCTGATGATAATGAAAATTTAAGAGATATCACGAAACAAAATATTAATAATTGCGATACTTTCAATTATTTTAATAATCATTATCCGTCATTTGAAAAAAAAAAGCATCATTTAATAAACTATAATATTTCTCCAGATTTCGCTCTCCGCGCTAATTTAAAAAATTTACAATATTTAACAGAAAAATAAAAAAGAGAAATATTTACTACAAAAATTAACAGAGATTTAAAATCGAATTATCCAAAGAATACGTAAATTCTTCGAATTTTGTACTTAACAAGTAATTATTGTTGTACAATTCGATTATCAGTACTTGATTGTACCAAAGATAAGATATTTCTCTGAACCATTTTAGAAATTTACGATATTTATTAAATAAATTAGTAGAGATTTAAAATGTCAAACTCATGGAACACGCAGATTCTTTATTCTTTTAACTTAACAAAATTATTGCTATGTGTATGCAACTTAACTATTAATAGTTGGATGCAAAGACAATAAGATATTAGATGGTTTGCTCAGATAAATGCACATCATTTTAGAAATTTACGATATTTAATAGAAAAATGAGCAGATAAAAATGTTGAATTATTTGAGAAATACATAGATTCTTCATACTTCTTACTTGATAAATAATTATTGTTATAATCTGATATTTAATCAGTATAATCTGATTATTAATAGTAGGATGCATCAAAGATAATAAAATACGCGGTTCGCCGATATAACAAGGTTCAAGCATCGCATTTAAATGCGTAATCATAGGACAAAGTGCATCGAACACTGTGTTATAAACTCGATCAACGATTAAACGTTATCGTTAATGATCTGCTGAAGGATGGGGAAAAAATAAAATCCATGGCAATAACAATTGGATACTTTATATTAAAATAGTAAGACAAAGACAATTTTACTAAATAATTTAATGAGCCGAGAGTCCGTTTAATTTTCTGTGAGACCGGCAATAATTTTGTAATTCAAATATCCATTATTTGTGTTCCATATTTTGAAATCATAAAAATCGTATTATTTCAAAAAGATTAATTTATTGAAGCGAATTATTCGATCAATCTCGACGAAGGTGATTTATATTATAATTTCAATTTAAATCAAGGTCAACAATTTTATATTCAATGAATAATTGAACGTAATACGATTGATCGCCGTTGCGAAGAAAGAGACTCCGTTGGGAGTCGATTGCAGATTGCGTCATCGCAATAACGCGTTGTATGTATGACCGACATATAATTAGTAATTAAAAATTGTGATAACCACATGTCTTGTCTTTGAAACATTCCTGGACAGTGTAATCTAGTGGATCGTACGCATATCTCAGTATCCTGAAATATCTGAGTCATCTTTCTAGGAAGGCAGAGTTATATCGAACAACATAATAAGAAATTTGAAAGTTTTCGAAGTTTTAAATGATTTTTTGTTTCGTCTAATCTTATCGTATTTACAGTATATAATATATACAACGGAATTGACTTTTGACATCTGATCTATAAGTGGCGGCAAACACTATCGTCGTCTTTTCGCGAGCCAACCCTCTCTTCGTGGTTTGTGAAGAAACTTGAATAAAAACACTTCAATCACCTTCGAAGAAAAATTGTCTGTTAGAACTGCCTTAATCCTTTATCTGCAATCATATTATACTTTTACTCCTGCCATCTGCAATTTTATTGTTCTACTTTTTACGAGGCTTTCAAAAAATGTGGAAAAATTCAGAGTTACTTTTCAACATCTCTGTTATGTTATCAAATAGGTTTTTAATAAGATATTTTAGAAAGGGGACTCAGATTCGGCTTTCCTTTATTTCGGAAAAATTGGAGAGTGAAATTTCGCTTATATTAAAAAAAGATCCAGATTACAGACTAGCACAGTTAAATTTCTCTCCAAGTTTAGAAACTCTTACACTGAAGAAAAGTATACTGAATGTTAAAACATATACATATGTATTTCTTTGAATAGTATTAAGTAAATATTTTCTTTTGTTTACAGTATAAATAAATATAATATTTATAAGTATTACAATAAAATTTAGTAAAAAATAATAAATCAAATTAATAGTTTCTATATCAAATAAATGTATGTCTACATTTAGTAAAAATTTACTTAAACTATTTAAACAAATATTTATAAAAATTCAGAGTACAAGTTATTATTCCATGTTTTGATCATCAAAAGCAAAGAAATTTTCTAAGGAAAAATTAATCATTTTCTTTTAGAAATATCTAACGGGAGAAACACTTTAAATAAACAATTAAAAAAGATACAAATTTGGAATGATCAGAATTTAATAAAATAAAAGATTTTATATTCGATAAAAAAAAAGTGGATCTTAAGTTTAAGTATTTTAAATAAACTTAAAAAAATATATAGGATATTTCGCAATGTTACAAGACTTTAAACATTATGCTTACTTTTGATAAATTATTTTCTGCTCTTTATTACATAACAAGTTTATAATAATTTTCTAATATTACGATGTTTCTTGTGAGACGTAAAATGTTACACATATCTCTGATTTTCTGCGATATTTTAAGAAAGCATTAGAAATCTAATTGGACTTCCCTGTGTACTTTCATGACAATTTCCTGGAATTTCTCCGGATGACGCTTATCATTGTTTCCAATAGATAGCCGTGACTTTCCCAAGGAGATTCATCGCCTTTATACACTAATTAATAATTATACTTCAAGCGACTTTCTTGTATTGTCCAAACAAAACTCTAAATTGTTGAAAAATATCTAATTCAAGAACTCAATAATATCTTGTCAGATTTTTAGAGGAATCTGGAAAAAAAAGACTTTTATCTCGCAGATTTTCCAAGATTACCTGGGAAACATCATCAAATGTTGCGCATTCATTGAGCGATATATGTAAATATTCGTAAAAAATATATATATATCAACATTTAGGAAAAAACGTCTCAGTATTTATACCGGATAGTCTAGTCGAATAGATTGCACGTCATTATTATGACGTAGGAATTCGAAAAAGGAAATAAACAATCTGAGAGATGAGGAAGTTGACAATCAGTCCAAAAACGTACCGAGAAGTAGAGCTACGGCAATGAACGCGGTGTACTTCATCATTTTGGCAGAGGACGAGAGTCTTTTGCGGAGAAAGACGAGGTAGATCGCGATGATAGGTAGGTATATCTCTATCTGCGGGTTGAGTTCACTCACGGCGGAACGTTTCCGCGCGCACGCACACGGATCACGCGCTCGCGCGTACACTCTTCTTACGCAGCACAATGAACAGCAACGCACCTTCCCGCGACAGCAGCCAGCTCATTTATTGTCACCAATCCTTTATTACGAGCAGGCGCTATTATCCGGTAACGACAGAAGAGAGGGGGTAGAAGCTGAAAGGAGAGGGAGACAGATAAACAGAGAGGGAAAGAAGCAACGAGAGGTGGAAGGAGGAAGAAAAAAGACAGGAACAGCACGCGATCTAACCTCTACGGCGAATATTCTGCTACTGATCGCGCTTGGCGCGTGCGCCGAGTTTATGTACGCGCGCGCCATCTCGCTTTCGCACGGCGTACGAAGTCTCGTGGCTCACCGCGACGGATACATATCTCAGAGGCGTAGCTAGAAATTGGCGAAACTGGCCCCCTGGTCAGGGACGCAGATCCAGGAAGTGTAAAAGTTCTTCTTCTTCTTCTTTAGGCTCAGAGGATTCAGGCTTCCTGGATGAAGCCCATTAACCTTGCAGGCAGTTCAGGCCTTCAGGGAGAGATTCCGTTCGAGCAATAGTATCTCTCAGCCTGAGAATTATTTTCCAACATCAGTCAATATTTATTGCTTATTTGGTAAGTGTAGATAAAAGTTACGATAAAACACGTCGGAAATCGATTTTGGACTTCATTGCAGCTCGTCAGATGTAGATACAATATGATGTTTGTATCTGGAGGTTTATCTTGAAACGTGATAAAATTAAGTTACAAATGTGAGTAAATTTACTAAATATTGATCAATAAAATTGTAACATAAAAACATTCTACTGTATTTGTTCATTTTTGTAATTTTCATTATATTTAAAAATACACAATTGACTCCTTAAATTAGAAATGTTTGAAGGATAAGTGTAGGGGCTAATCAAGGAAATCAAGTCAGCTACTCTCTTAGATTTATTAAAATATATACAAGAGATTGCTTATTAAAATCTTGATAATATCTCATTATTAAAAAAATGTCCTTCGAATTTATTTAATCTTATCCCAGATTGTGGCAGTTTTAGTAAACTCAAATTAATAAAGAATTAGCTGTTTTGATGAATCAAGAAAAATTAACAGTCTTATTATCAATCGAACATAAAGTATAGTTTTTCACAGATTAATTTAGACATAAACGAATTTATGAAACATTTTTGTAAACATAAATTTATTAATAATAATTTTGATAAATTAATTGAAAGTAATGAAATACTTGTAATGTTCTAGCTTAATAAATCACTAATATTTTTAAACACAATTATAAATCAGATGTCATTTTTTTTATCTTGCATCTCCATATATACTATATATTATAGTAAAGCAGTGATTATATCGTCAAATAAAAATTTTTCTAATACGAATACAAAGCCTATAACAGTCTAGCTTGGATCTTAGTTTATACTTATATATGTAATATATTTTGCGTGAATTTATATACTAATATGTGTAGTCTTTCCAAACTACGCGCCGAACAATTGCAGACGGTCTTGAAACGAAACTCTAATAAACTATCGTAGTACTATCACGTATTAAATTGATTAACAATTTAATAATTAATTGATACAGAGAAAAATTTTTCTCTGAAGGGATGAGGGGCTCCAATATATATATTTTTTCTTTAGGCACCATAGATACGCTTCTGCTTACTAATTTAATTGCTACAGGAATTTCTCGTAAGATGAGTCAAAAATTTACAAGTATGTATCATACAAGAAGAACAAAGTCCGGTTAAATATTCAGCATTGTTAGTTTTTTTTCGCGTATATGCGATAATTTAATGACGAATTCAGCAAATATGTATGCATTACGAGGAACGGAAAGTTTTATTAAAAATTGATATTGTTGCAATAGATCGAATAGATCAATACTATTTTTAAAAATAATGAGTCAAATTATATAAAATTGATTTGTAAATTAATTACTTATACGAATTTAAAAGATGTTTACTTAGAGCAGAGATTTAATTTATAGCACATTTTAATTTTAAAATAATTTATATATATATATATATATACATACCTATATCTTTTATAAGAATTTTTGTATTTTATTTGCTTGTTTTTAACCCACATGTATTAAATTTATCAAACGATATCTACGCAAATTTATTATGTATAATGAAATCAAGGAAGGTTTATTTGTAAGATAAACGTTTACTTCAGCCATATGTACCACAAATTTTAAACACATTATCACCAAGTCCTCGGTAGTATAGTGGTCAGTATCCCCGCCTGTCACGCGGGAGACCGGGGTTCGATTCCCCGCCGGGGAGTTTTTTTTTTAATCGACAATTACAATTTTATATCTCTCTACATATGTGTGACCAAAAAGATTTGTATAATTATAACATTTTAATCGTAGAGCCGAGATATACTTTTTCTATCCTTGGTATTTTAATCTTTGTTGTTATTATGAACATATTCAAATACAGTTTTTCTTAAATAGAAATTATTTTGGATGACTCGTCGCTGATACAAATTGAAAAAGTTATAAAATTAAAGTGTAATGTTATAAAAATATACTTCTCTCTCTCATAAATTTGAAAATCTAGTTCACGCTGATACTCCTTATACTCTATAGGTATTAAGTTTTCGCGTCGCATCGGTGGTTCAGTGGTAGAATGCTCGCCTGCCACGCGGGCGGCCCGGGTTCGATTCCCGGCCGATGCATTTCTTTTTTATTTTATTTTTTTGTATCGCACAATAATGTACGCTTGGTTATTATTTAATTTATATATTATATTATATAATTATACGCTTCCTTAATTTAATAAATTATACAAATTTTATTATTCTCTTAAATATTCAATATTAATTATTAGAACTTTTGAAGTTGTAATTTCCGATTTTTATCATGTAAAAACTTTTTTTACTTCTTGTTTAGTATTTATCGCGTTGTAAATTGAAATAATTGGAAAAATATCTTTAATTTTACCATGAAAAAATATGTGGAAATTTTTTTGAAGCGTATTTTCTGAAAATGTATTTTATCATATAGCCGCTAATTGTTGATTATATAACAATCATAAATCGAACCCCGATCGTTTATCGTTATGGATACAATCGGTGTACAGTAAAGAATATTTTACAATTTCATATTTGATTTTCAAATTTAAATATAATTATAATAATAATAATAATAAACTATACTACACTACACGTATAAAAAGATGGAAAATTTTATTTAAAAAATAACAATTTTTATTAGTAGGAAAGAATAAATATACAATGTACTGTGTATATAATTATATTATGTGGGTTTTTTTTATATACGTTTTACTTCAATGTTAATTTCGAGAATATTAATTAGAGCAAGTCACGGAAGTGTCGCTCTCATTCCCAAGAGAACATTGGGCTTATCTGTATTATAATTATAATTGCAGCTTTGTTTGTATCACTTGAGATTCTTTTAGTCCTATTACTGTTATTAACGTTCTAATCAATATTATCTATTCTTTATTAAAGTAATTTAATAAAGAATAGATAATGTTGATTAGAACGCTAATAAAAATTTTCGCTGACGAGAGAGAGATCGCCTAATTTGGTTTCATCATCCAATTAATTATAAAGGGTTAATGAATTTCTACTCTTAGTTCTTGTTTATTATATTTTATTTTTATTGCACCTTATAAAAAGTAGATTACAACGAATCAAATAAATAGAGTACTTTAAATAAATATATGAATAAAATCATAGGAAGTTAAATTTAGGCGCGGAAAAAGTCAATCCGTTTCATAGTCACATGCATGTATATACATATATATTCGCAGAAGAATGAACATGGGATTACAAAGAGGAATTTTTAAAAAACGCAAACGCGCCGTGCGCATTCATTACGATTCGCGCGCTGTAAAATTGGACCCTATAACCAACTTTTTTCACAGATAGCTAATAAAACGTCGAGAAGAAGAAAAAAAAAGATTGTCGAGCACGTATTTCTCGCTTCTGTTTCTGAAAGTTCGCGCGCGTCGTACATTTTTTTCATAATTTAGAAATGAAAGAGTTACTGCGGCTATCTGACCGAGTAACTCGATAAGGGAAAAAAATTTGTGTAAGTCGATTTTTGAGAAGCCCCTTAAAATTGATTTCTATATACACTTTTTTTCTTCTTCTCGATCGAGAATATTCAGATGAATTAACAGTTAACAAAGTAACATATATGTATATGTTTTTAATTCGTCACTCTGATGACGCATGCATAATTAATATTGAATATTAGTATAATGATACGTTCAATTTACTAGATTATGTTTGCTAAATTGCAATTAGCGGAATACGTGCGTGTCTAACGAGACAAACTATAATTCATGATAATGTGACAACGGTATTGATTTATGCATTGGGTTAGCAGGATAAAGACTTTTTACAGTTGTCGATTCGATCGTAGTACCTAAAGTAGATGGATGTAGGATCGGCATGTTGTCTCGCGAAATGCAATTAGAGAGATCGAGATTCATAGCTTATAAGCGTTACGCATCATTAAGTCGAAATATGCGTCGTTGTCTATGCTCGCGCTAATTACGCTGTAATAATTCATAAATTCTTCTTGCGTTACCTGCAACACAAGGGAGAAGAATAATAAATTAAATAGATAATAATAATATCACGAATTAAAAATAATAATGCGATGGATAGTAAATATACTTATGATGATACGCGAATTGTTTGTAGATAGATAATATGCATATCATATATCTATATGATAGTATAATATTGCAGAGAAATCTCTTATTACAATGATTACGCATTATCGAAACAAAACTTTTATCAATTCATAAAACAAATATATATATCTCTTTTAATTATATATAACTGATTTACATTATAATTTCGTCATAAGAGCTTTTTTTAAATAATTTGTTGATATTTTTACAATGGAAAGTACAAGATATTAAAATATATATGACACAATTCAATAATCTCTATATTTACTTTAATTTATTAATTAATTTAGTAATCTCTTATTATCTTTATTGTTTTGAATATCATTTTTTATCTTGTTTAGTGTACTGTTAAATACTTTTAAAGTATTTATCGATTTTTTAAGCATATTGTATTCTGACTCTACATCTCTATTCTGTTGTAATTTTGATAGTTGGTTATTTGTAGAGACTAAATTACAAAAACTTTATTGATCCGGTTTGGAAAAATATCATAAAACTACTTACGACACCGTCTACGCTGTTTTCGTGTTCGAAATTCGAGAGGAACTTGTTCAGGATACTCTCTTCGCTTTCCTCACCGCTGATATAACGCGGATGACACTTCACATTGTAAACTCCTCGTAGATCGTCGATGGTAATCCGCCCATCGCCGGTCTTGTCTAATTTCTGGAACGCTTGATCTACTACACTTTGGCGGCTTTGATTCATTGGTGGCTGACGGGAAAAATTATCTCATTAATTTAATTAATAATTCGTACCATATTATGCATTTACGCGTATTATATATTTTATTGCTCGTTTTCATATTTATATTCTTATCGTCAATTTTCAAATACGATTTTTCGTTTGAATAATGCATAAAACATTTCTCTTAATTAGACATTTTTCGGTAAAAATTAAACAGCGCTAGAGATAAGCGATAAGTAAAATTAAAAAAATATACAGCTCACTCTTATGCCAACGAGAAACTCGTCAACGCTGATGTTGCCGTCCTCGTTAGTATCGAATTTCTTAAAAACTTCGTTAATTTCATCTTCGGAGAGTTCCAATCCGGTCTCCTCCAGACCCGTTTTAAACTCCTCAAGACTTAGTTTCTTGTTGCCGTCATCGTCCATACGACGGAATATCCTGGCAAAATATGTATTGTAAATAACGCGAGATTAAATGGCTCAGCATATTGCAATATAAATATATAGGCGATATATAAAGAACAGTGATATTAGGCTGATTCACGTATGATAAAAACCGTAACATCATCGCACGCACATGTTCATGATGTTGAATCATTATCCGTAAATTATTAACATTAAAGTTTGCGTTGATTTTGAATTTGATTCTATTCCTGTTATCTTGTGTATTCGCGTTCTTTTTTGCAATTTTTTTCAGCAGTATCATTTAAATATAAATTCAGTATTTTCCCACCTTTTTTTTAATATGATTGTCTTTTTTTAATACTTAAATTATTAACATAAACAACTAAGTAAATATTATCCCAATTATTATCAAAAGTGAATTAATTTAACTAAATAAAAAATTGCAAAATTTACAAATCATGATTTGAATGGTTTCTTTTTAATAAAAAATCGTGGAATGACAAAAATGACATCGGATTATGTTGAGAATTTTTGATTATTTTTATAATATTTGATCATTTTTTCTAAATTATTTAATTAGTTAATAATTTTATCAAGTTAAAAAATAAGTTTTATCTTTTTCTGGAAAATTAACTTTTTTTAATTATGTCACTTTTAAAGTAGGAAAGCAATATGTATAATGTAAAAAATATTTAACTAAATATTATTATATTCAATATTTACAAGATTAAAATTCTTCATTTAAGAAGTCTTATAATATAATAATAAAATCAATTAAGACTCCTTATAATTTAAAAACAAATTGGAGAGGGTAAAGGGCAATACTTTTGAGCAGTAGTATACCTACATTGATATAGAAATAAACAATTTTTTTTATAATACAAAAGAATCGAAATCTTTTTTGGACGAAGATAATTTAGAACATGATCTAGTTATAAGAAAAACGAACATAATGAGGAGTTGTTTCATCCTGTAATTTCGCAATTGCATTTAATAGCAATGTAGATATTAAAGAATGCTTTCGAGACTCACCTACCCAGACCAAGAATGCCATTGGCGCCCCTAGCCAGGCAAAGTAAACGTAACTTCTCCATGGAATCCGTGGTGTTGTTTATGGCCCGTTGAGCCTTGTTGATCATCTCAATCTCCTGTCGCGTCGTAGCACTCTGTGGTCTCAGGCTGAACATTGCTGAAAAGAGAAACGTCATTTGCTCACGTGACAAATATGAGTCAGGTACAGCGCGTAGAAAAGAGAGAGGGACGAGAGAAGGAGAGAGAGAGAGCAGCGCTTGTGTACATATTCCAAAAGTGGACATTTATAGGAGAAGTATCGTAATGCTGTGCAACATTTCGAAAGATATTGGGTGCTTTTTATTTGGTAACACAAGTGCTGCTCTATATTCGTTAATTTCTGAATGCTAAGAAAGATCGAATAATGTTTGTGTCGATTTGTGTCATTAAATGGACAATATTGAACATGATTACAAATTTTGTCCCTGTTTTATTATTTAAAATAGATACATCTGCAACTTAATCAATAGTTAAAAAAAAATTAAATTTAAATTTAAAAAACGGATTATAAAGCTTAAAATTCTACTTTAGAAAGGTCACTTTTATGAGATGCTGTGTAAGTTTAATAATTTTTATATATAGAAATTATATGAAAAAGAGAAAGAGAGATGAATAAACTGATAATATAATATCACGAAGAATAGAAAAATAGAAATTAAAAATACTACTAAAATGTGCAAATATACTATTTGCAAGAAAAATAAATCGAAACTAGATTTAAACTTAAATTTTACAAATTTAGTACATTTAATTAATATGTTTAAATTAATGCTTAAACTTTGTATAATGCTTATACAAAGTTTAAGATTATAAATTCTCTTTATTCTCTCTGATTATATTAATTTAATAAAAAATATTCTTTTATACCATAATTTGATTGTTAATTGTATTGAAAATCGGTAAGAAACATTAAACGCGTATAATATCTAATCTACATATCTTGACAGAAATGCAATTTTGCACACGTAGTAAGATGCATTAGTGATAAGGTTTTTTTTACTATCATGCGCACAAAGGTAGATAAAAAGTGGGTTATTGATTAACTTCTGTTGCTAACTTGTCACTTTACGAATAATAGTGGTTTTCTACATTGCAACATCGACGTTCACGTTTCCTGCTGTCATCGACCGCCATGTGTGGAAGCAGTCGTTCTCTCTCTCTCTCTCTCTCTCTCTCTTTCTCTCTCTCTCTCTCTCTCTCTCTCTCGCTAATAGTCTTTAATTATTTCATGCTTTTTCGGCTCGCAAGAAGCAACTGTTCACTTTCTACTAAATGTAATTTAAAACTACTTTTAAAAATTAAAAGGTTCATATATATTAATTCAAAGAAGGCTTGAAACAATACTTTTTCCTCATATACTATATAATATTATTTAAGAAATACTGTGACGTATCATCTGTAATTGCGTAAAAGTAACAATACCTCGATATACTCCATTATTGGTATGAAAATGTATTTACTATGAAACATATTTAACTATGAAAATTTATTTAAAACATAGATAAGATAGAAGAGTAATTATAAAAATAGGAAGAGAGACAAGAAGTAGTGCAATTAGCAATTAAAATAGGAGCACGTATGAGAAAGATATAGATAAATGAGCGAAATAAAAACAAAGTTTGTAAATCCCAAGTCCCCTCCTTGGTTTTATGTATACAAATGCTATACAAAATAAATTTTATTCTAATAAAGTTATTAATTATAATTATTATGATAAAATTATTTGAAACATATGTATAACAGGCAACGCTAGAAAATCTATAATAAAGGCGTACCCTATTTTTCCCTCTTGTTAATAAAAAAATATATTATTTCATTTTTTCAATAATAATAAGTTTCGTTATTTCGATTTTTTTGTAACGTAACAATATTATTACATGTTCGTGGAAAAGTATGATTCGTTCAGATAATTCACGAGGAATTGCGATGAAAAGATGAGTATCAGAAAGAATATCCGGTTAATGTCTACCAATTCATTATTTTAGTCCATTCTTATTTTAAGTAATATCTTAACTAATGTACGTCTTAACCCTTTGTATCTTTGTATCAAACTATAACAAATAATTATTTTAACACAAATGTGAATCGAAATTATTTTTTTCCAATAGACAAACATAAAATATGGTACATAAAATAAATTCACAATATTCTTAAACTAATAATAAAAATCGAAGAAGAAAAGATGCAGTTTATGTGACTACACTATGACGGAAAAGGTTAAAATGTTAATACAGCCCTTTGATTAGCTCATGACATCTTAAGACTGTATATAATTAAGACAGTCCTAAATATAAGAATCGACTATAAAAATAACGGTCTAACTTTAATCTTTTCTCAAAAATTAGAAAAAGATAAAAGATAAGTTAAATTGAGATTAACGTCGTATGATCTATAATCTACATTGATAAAATGGTTGTAAATGTTTTTCCTTTCACATTTCGCACAGCATCACTCACCTTATTAGCTCGTAGCTTCCGGTAAACGAGATGGAGAACGCTGGAGAACGCAGTGAAGGACGCGCGCGTGTGCAGTGGAAGACGATAGATGATTCGCGAGATCAGCGGAAGGAGGAAAGAACTTGGTTTACTCTTCGCAAGAGGAAATGGAGGAGGCAGCAGCGACGTTTTTTCCAAGAGGACCGGAAGGTGAGTGGCGGTCCCTCCGCATGGCGGATCGTCACGAATCCTATAGTATCCTATAGCGCGACGACGATGACAATAACGACGACACACATTACGTACACACCCTGGACGATGTATGAGAAGTGACTATATACTGCAGGGCCCTCAGAGCGTCACGATGTATCCATAACGACCGATTTGTCACAACACGCCCATTGCATCCGCTTCGCAAGCCGCGCCGATTGCAAGCGTGACCAATTGATTGATCGATCGCCGATACCGATTGTTTCCTCGAGGGGCGAGGTCGAAGAAGAATCGGAGAACGCTCGGAATTAAGAGAATAATCGGCGGGATCGTCGTCATTGCCATTTACGGTCGATCGCTCTGGTTTAGTTATACTAAAAAAGATACTTAGACTAGTAGATATTTATAATTCGCTCTTATTTCAAAACTATCTTACAATGATGAATATAATGTTGCAAGACGCTAATACGATCCTCTGAATGGTACGTGACATCTTAAGATTGCACTTAACCAGACCTGAATTAAATTCAACTATATTAAAATAAAAAAAATTAGTTTAAAAAAATTTAGATTTGTTTAAATTCAATATACATATAAAAACACTTTAATCAGTAATTCATACTAAACAATTAAGTTTATTCGAAATTTGTATTATTTTTTTTTCAATATATGTACATTATTATACATATTTCTAATCTTTGATGATGTCGAAAGAATTATTTATTTCAACGGAAAATACTTCCTAATTTGATGTAATATAATGTGTGCCGGATCTGAAGGAATTAAGACAGTCTTAATTATGTATAGATCTGACTATGAATATCGGTCTTATATATCTATATGCCCAATTTCTTCTCCTTTAGATCATTTTTATCCAGGAGATCTTCCAAAATACAATGGAGAGGTTATCCGCAATTTATCTGTGAGTGGAAAAATTGGGCATTAGAAATTTATTTGTGAGATCAGAAAAATTTCTAATTTCCTATCAGAATATTAATATAAATTTATATAATATATATATTTTTTTATTACATATATTTCCATCCAATTTTAAATTTCATCCAGTTTTAAATTTAAAAAGTAAATTATCTTTTGAAAATTTAATAACTAAAATTTTTTTTAGTAATTTCGAAAATTAAGCTCGAATTGAAACAGATTTCAGGTAAAGTATCTTTGATTTTTAAAATAAAATTAATTAAGAAAATTTTCTTTTTATGTTATCACCTAGTTGTTTATTTTCAACGATATGTGAAAATATTATCTTGACCTCTTTATTGACAGACCTAGATTGATATCGATAAACTTAGACTCTACATCGATAAACTGAGACCAAAACAGCATCGCAACGGAAAGTCTGAGAAGTAAAGAAATTATCGTACATATTTGATCAGCCCTACCTAGAGCACATCGCGTAACATAGTTGCAAGCTAACAGTGATGTGTACGCAGTATTACATTACGAAGTGTTCCACGTTCTTGAACTTTTACATTTATTTATTTTTGCGCAATCGTAGACCAATTTCACAGTTATGTGGCAGTAGAACAGCATGACAAAATAACATACATAGCCAATGTTACAACGACAGTTTATTATTAAAATAATGTATATACATATATATATCCGCGGACAAAACCGTAGGAATAGACAAACGATATTTCTTAAGAGCAATACATTGCATGATCTTAATACTTTATTAACTATAAGCTGAAAGATTGCTTATCTTATTAGATAGATTTTTTTATTAGATATATTTATTAGATGCATAACCTAAACAGCACACAAATATTTATATTTACAAAATATATATATTTGTAAATATTTATAAGATTTATTTTAAAAATTTTGTACATATTTTTGTGATCTTAGATTGCATATAGACCATAAACATTTATTACAAATACACTTCTCAACAAAATTAAAGGATCACTTGTTCCATCCTGCAAAAATAGGTAAATTTTTGCAGGAAAATAGAATAACTTCGTCAAAAATCATCGTATCGAGATTTTTAAAAAGATGCATCAGATCTCGAAATTTTTAACAAAATTTGCGAAGTTCCACGGAGCCAAGTAAAAATTGTGTACAAATGCAGTTTACAGTTTTTCGAAAGAGTGAATCTTTATCTTTAATTTGCTTTTTTATTGACCTTTGTGTTAAATTTAATGAGCAATATTAACTCATCTAATTAAGCTTAATCAAAGAAAGACAATACACATCAATCAAATCGTTTAGATTTAATGAATGAACTTTTGAAGGAAATAGAATACCATAAATCATGAATCATTACACAAGCATTATACAACAAAAGCATCAATATAACAAATCGCTTATAATAAACATCTTACAGAAATAATGACTTTTGTGCATATACTTTAGTACAGTTTCTTATATTAAACTTATCTGTAACGAAATCAGATCATCGTTGCAAGGCCTTACAATCGCACACAGCTCACACACAACCGTTCGGCACCATGGTCCGCTAGGATAAGGGGCGAGCATCAACGATGTTCAAATTTCATTAATCTGACTATCGAAAGATAGTGCCATCTACTCGATGAATTAATCATGCCATCTATCGTCAATTAGCCTGATGAAAATTACAACTTTCCAACACTTTGTACGATTTTTTTTCACCGAGTTATTTAACGTTGAAGCAAAAAGGTCATTTTTACTTCAACGTTAAATAACTCGGTGAAAAAATATGTGATGAATTGTCATTTTGTTAATAAAATGTCTTTATTTTAACGTCAAAATAATGACAAATAATGTCTTATTTAACGAATGTCAAAAAGACAACATCATTACATCTTTAAAACATGTATTTGCTCACTTTTAGATATTTTAGAATAAAGTTAAGCTCAAAATGTTAAGAATAAGAAAGACATGTGTGTGAAAGTATTATGAAAAAAGAAAAATATGAAATCGAAATTACTTACTGTGTATTAATAATTTAATTTACATAACTTTGTTAATTAGTAATCTATTACTTATTAATTATATAAAAACATATTAAACAAAAGTTTCTATAAAAATTAATATTCCTATTTTTTTTCTTCTTCAAAGATGCTGGTCATTTTACAATGTATTGTATAATTGTGCCAATATTTTCGTTCGTTGTTTCATGTATATAGATATAAGTAATATATCATTATATTGATTTATATAAAAACTTCCAGTTCTTATCTCATATCCTCGCTTTACTTTCACAAAACTTCCCTAATTGTAATCCTGAAATATTAAAAGTATTCAAATTGCCAAACTTTAACACAGTATATTATTATAGGCCTTGTTTAAGTTTGCCACGCCATATGTATTTTAATCGATAAATGTTGCTAGATAGGCAATAATAAAAATAGTCTACTATAAATAGCTGTACATATTTCTCAAAAAATCTCATAAAAAATATATATATATATAAGAAAGCATAAGGCTCGCTATTATACGTTTAAACGAAAGTACGTTTACACATATAATTAGTATATCCGATTATTAGAAATGTTTTTCTGAATATAAGTGTAATTAACTATTATACGTTTAAACAAAAACACATTCACACGTATAACTAACATATTCATATGCTAATTAAACGTGTAAACATTTAACTTCAAATAAACGTTTTTCTGAAAACAAATATAAACGGATAAACGTTTTACACGTATCGCTTTGAAAAACGAGATAAAATTAGTGCCCTAATTAAAATGTCTTTTTAAAAAAATCATAAAGATGTTTATAAAGTCCATGTCACATTAAAAGGATTTTACGAATTGATCAATCAAAAGGAATGCCTCAAGAAAAGCATTCATGAATCGTCCGTATAATAGAAAAATCTGAAATGAACGTAAAATTTAAAGGTAATTATGAAACATATATTTTTTACTTGTAAAAACTCCAGAATGTTTAAATAGCTAATTCTTTTTAAAAAATTTCTAAAAATACTTTATTTTTTAACTTGAGACTCTTTCCTTAATGAGATGTGTCAGAGTATATATTTGAAGTAAAAAATTGATTTCAAGGTAGATTATATTTAGTAAAAAGAGATAAAGATTATCTGTTTTTTGAATCACAATTATCAACACACGCAAAAAAATAGTTTGCATTTTTTGTTGAAGATTTTTCATTTATTAACTACTGATAAAGAGACATATCTGTTTTATCAAGCGAACCCTTTTAGCGATAAGAAAACTATTCTAGCTATTATTCCTTATTATCATCAATTTACATTGACAGAAATCCATTATAGATATATTGCCAACATTAATAGATTGATCGTTGTATCGCTTATTACAATGTAAGAGCAGCATAAACAATCAAAATAAACATGTTTCGTGTAGAATATTCATATGTCATCTCAATGTGATAATATAAATATTTATAAGTATAAGCCGGTAAGCCGGTTTTTTTTTTTTAACGAGTCGATCCAGAATCGCCGAGATGGACTGAAAATATGATTTTCATGATCAATTTAGCCGGCGATGTATCATGTTTTCCGCTCAATTACTGATAATTCAATTTCCTATTGTAACAATTCTGCATACGTAGCTGGAGTCTGCGTGGAGTGGCAAAGCCACGAGTGAATTTTCTAGAACGGGATGAGAGACATGTGTACCGCTGGAGCCAATCGCACGACGCCATTTGTACGGGGTTGCTGTCGGGTGCGCCCGTCATTGGCCGGCACGTGCTGCGTGGTTCGACGCGATTGGACTGCCGCCCCGCGCCGTCGCGTATATCGCGTCGTCGTCACGGCTGTTCCGTGACAGTCGGTGAAAAAACAGCGGAGCGTTAACGGTGGCAGCGCGTGAGTTCGTTGGCGACTCCTTTCTCGTTCACGGTCTTTCACGACGCAGCAACGATGAGGAAACTCTACCTATTGATCGCAGGATTATTCCTGTTAACAGGCAAGCGGTCTCGTTATTTCTAAGAACCTATTCCCTCATCTTAGATGAAATGTGTCTCCAATATTTCATACCCGCCTGTTTGCTCTCTAGGATTCGTCCGGGCTGATGACGAAGTCGAGGAGAATACCGGCACCGTGGAGAACGATCTCGGAGCTAGCCGTGAGGCATCGCGAACAGGTTGTTATCTTGCAGTTTAA